TAATATAGCTAAGTGTCTGTTAATCTTGCCAATCTTGCCTATTGTTTTGAGAAATTAACTCTTGCTTTCAATGCCTTTTTGTATGATTTTCTTGGTTCCTACGTAACTTATTTCAGCACTAAGTTTTGTTATTTTATTCCTTCTGCTTATTTTGGATTTCCTTTGTCTCTTTAAACTTTCTTAATAAGAAAGACTATGTTAATAATTTGGGACTTTTATTTTTTTCTTGTGTAAGCCTATATTTTTATAAACTTCCCTCTTGGTAGTGCTTTGCTTTGTCTCATAGGTTCTGATAGTTTGCATCTTCATTTTCATTCATTTCCAGGAATGAAAGAAAATTTCTTTTATTCCTCTTTAGTCCATTAGTTGTTCTATAGTAAACTCTTTAATCTTCAATCTCTAAGGGTTTTCCTTAGCTTTCTTTTAATGAAATTTCTACTTCATAGCTTTCTGTTCTAAGTAGAAGCTTGATATGATTTCTATCTTATGACTTTATGAATACTTCTTTAGTATATGTGTCCTAGCAAATGGTCTATTCTGAAAAATATTTCATGTGTAGTTCTCAGAATGCATTTTGGATTTTTGGAGCCAGAAGTCCTGTGTATATTTATTAAATCCATATTTTAGAAAGATCTTCATTTAATGCTTTTGTCTCTGTATTGATTTTCTCTCTGGTTGATATTTCCAATGATAAGAGAGGGGTGCTAAAGACTAGTGCTACTTTTGTGTGGATGTCAATAGCTCTCCAGTTCATTTAGTAGTGTCTTCAAAAACGTTGCTGCCCTATTTTTGATATATACACACATATCTATATAGATATATAGATATGTATATTAGAATTAAGTTTATTTGCTGTATGATTCCTGAATCAATGAAACTATCTTCCTTTTCTATTTAGTTTTCTGGGAATGGGATTAGCAAATATATACTATTGAATAGGTTTTAGTATATATAATTCAGTTGTATTAATATCATTAAATGATGAGTCCTATTTTTTCTTCATAAACTGCATCAGAATTTATATGAGAGTTTTTAAAATCAGTGACTCTTAACTCTGAAATAGAAACATCCCCTCAGCCCAGTCAAATGGTTAATGTAGAAAAATTTCCTGTTGTTAGTCCATATAATTAGTGGCTATTATTATTGTTTTGGATTACATCAAGTGGCCAAGATAAAATATGTTCACTGGAAGTGCCTAAATTAACGAGATTGTCTTTATTAACAAGGCCCTTTTAAGTGGTTTCAGCTGTAGTAGCATTTGAGTTCCATTAGGTTTTTGAAGTGATTTAGAAATTCAAATTATTTTAAAAAATTAGATGTCAGGGTGGTGGATAATTAGTAAATGCTAGCTTGAAGTTGCAAATTTATACTGAATAGTGGCATTGAACAGAAACATTGGGTGTTGTTGAACTACAAACATGGAGCTGAGAAAACACTTTTAAAGCTACTTGTTCTTTGGCATGTGCAATAAAAACTATTTAAGTTATTAAAAATTTTACTTATCTTGTAAATACAGTAATTAAACTAATAGTTACTTTGCAAGGGCAGAAAAGCACTTTATATGCCTAACATGACATCTGTTGCATGATTGTAATAAATAATTTTACTTCCAAATTTTTTAAAAGATTAACATAAAAACGTAAAAAAATTATAGATAAAATATGACCACTGTATATCTAACCACTGTATATCTCTCTGACCCTCATTATGACTTTCCTGCACTACAAGGCATAGTTCTCACGGCCCTCAACAATTCTATATTAAGAGTGACAAACTTAAAAATATTGCAGTATATGAAATAATTTTCTTCTGGATTCAGTGAGGTGAGAATCTACTAACGAAAGTAGACAAACCAATATAAGAAAATTAGAGAATAGATGAAAAAATGAATAATATAACTGTGAAACCTAAGGCATAATTGTAAATTAGATCTTAATTGATTTTGACCATACATCAAAGTGATGTTATATTGCAAACACCTGAGAACTACCTAAGAATAGTGTAAAAGAAATAGAAGTGAATAAGTTAGAAGAAAGAAAATTTAATTGTGTTGAGTAGTATGTTGATAAACTATATGGGTCGAATATTTCATAATATGTTCATATATCATGTCGCAATGATGTACATTTCATTTCTTATAGTTTATGCCAGTTACAATTCAATATGACTTAATAAAAACAAAAAATACACTGAAATTTTCTTGAAACATCTGTTCAACATTGTTATTAAGGGAGTGTCAGAACAGAAGAGATAGTACAGGTTTTATTTTTTTTTTTTTAGTTCAGGTTTTTTTTTTTTTTATTAGTGAAACACCATGAGGTACAGTTGTAGATTTACAAATTTTTGTGCTTGGGTTTCGATTATACAATGATCAGATACCCATCCCTCCACCAGTGCCCATTTTCCACCACCATGGATAATATGGATAGTACAGGTTTTAAGGTGTTTGCATTGCCTGCGTCTGAGCCAGGTTGATTTGTAGCACTGTAATAGTGTTCCACAAAAATGCTAAGAGTGAGTCCTTAGCAAACTGCTGTGAGGGATATAACCTCAGCACAGCTGGTCTTGGCCCAAATAAGGAGAGAGAGAGAGAGAGAGAGAGAGAGAGAGAGAGAGAGACAGACAGACAGACAGACAGACAGACAGACAGAGACAGAGAGAGACAGAAGGAGAAATAGAAAAACAAAAAAAAGAGAAACAGAATGACAAAAAGAAATGGAAGGAAGGGAGGGAGGGAGGGAGGAAGGAAGAGAAAGGAAGGAAGTGAGGGAGGGAGAAAAAAGGAAGGGAGAGAGGGAGGGGAAAAGAAATAGAGGAAAGAGGAAAGGAAGGAAGATAAAAAAGACACTGCAATAAGTCAAAATTAATTAATTAATTAATAATGCCTAATAAATAAATTATTCTCAGAAAACAAATCCTATAAAATCAAGAAGGTTGATTGATGGCAAATATACCTTATTTATAAAGGACTGGTAAATTTCCCTGGCATGTGTGAAGTCCTAAGTTTGAACCCTGAGGACTGCATGGTCCCAAGCACAGCTGGGTGGACAGTGAAGTCTGATTGATCTCAAACCCTTGAACCTATTTGATGCTGGCACCAAGTTGGCCCCTAAGAGCCTCCAGCATCAATAAGAAACTAGAGTCAAGCACAGTTAGACTATAAGCAAAATTTATAAAATATAAACTGAAGATGTTCATATATTGGCGATGAATTGAACATAAAATAAATGTAAATAAATGTCAAGCACAGTTAGACTATAAGCAAAATTTATAAAATATAAACTGAAGATGTTCATATATTGGCGATGAATTGAACATAAAATAAATGTAAATAAAATTTGTATTTGCTCCAAAGTGTTCCCAATTGACAATAAATGTGGATATATATATATATATATATATATATATATATATACACACATATATTCTACAAAATATTTCTTGGTCAATTAATGAACAGCTAATGAATAGCTAAATATTTTACTTTTGTGAATTAGAGGATTCGGTATTGTTTAGTTGTCAAGATTTCCAAAAATATTTATTATTTAAGCAATTAATAGCAAAATCTCATTTTTGTAGAAGCTGACTCACAAATCCTAATAAGCGTATAGAGATCTTCAATGACTTAGAACAGCTAGAACAATGGCTATTAGAATCAGAAATTCTGATTTCAGTATTAATCATAAGATAATGACATTGCATAAAGTTATCTAGCATTCTATTTAATATAATGATGCTAATCAAGTTAAATTTTGTTAAACATTTATCTCAAGCAACACTCAAGGCTTTTTAAATTAATGCCATTAAAAAATAAAAAGTTCACTTATGAAACAATTGTTATTTTACCATTATTTTTCCCTCAGAACTGAATTGCCTCAGAAAACTCCCCACTATTACATGAAGTATTTCAGACAATTTCACACTGTTTAAGAAAGGGAGAGTTAAATGGTTCTTTAGGAAGATAGCAAGCTCTTACAAGAGTGAAACTCCAAAATAAACTTTCAAATGATTTAGTTTGGATATCTGTTGCCTGATGCCATCTATAAAAAGCAGAATCCTAGGGCAGGAGAAATAGTACAGAATATAAGGTCCTTGGGTTGCAGGAAGCTGCCTCTAGTTTGATCCCCAGAGCCCCATATTGTTACCCCCAGACCTTTGTGAGCGAGATCAATGAGCACAGAACCAGGAGTAAGACCTGAGCACAATAAGGTGTGGTCCAATAAACAAAACTGAAAATAGCAAAAAATGCAGAGCCATTTTTCTAGAGCAAAAGAATGTCTGACTTAAACTGTATATGTAAAACTAAAATGAATTACTAAATAACAAAGACAGAAAAAAATACATGTAAAATAAAAGCTGACTTTACCTTTTATAATGTGTTTTAATATTTTTATACACACTTGGTGATATGGTTTAATGTTCATAGGAATAATAAAAATGAACATAGAGAAGCTTGGTCCAAAATATGTTTTTATTACAACTGGGCAACAAGGTTTTCATGGGATATAAATAATCTTAATGTCTATTTTTAATTTCTCATTGACAATCACTTGGTACCTTCCAAAAATAAGAATCATGTTTAATTTGTTTATATATGAGTTAATAACAACTATTAAAACTTAATAATATAGTGTCATATTCAACAGCCTACATTCAAATTTTTTATCTTTCAGTATCTCCGGTAAATGCTTGCAGGCAATTATTGATTTTGAAACTTAAAATTTGCTAGATATCATTCAGAAGAGTCTCAGTACAGCAGAACATACTCATTCCTACTGATTTTAAAAACATTGTTAGGAATAGCAGTCACAAATATATATACATATTATGTATATGTAATATGTATATATATAGACACCTTTGAAATTAAGTTAAAGATTCAGCATTATATGAGTCTATCTTTGAACTTAATAATGGAGAAACAGACTTTGATCATTCAAACTCAGTGTGCTGAGCATTTAAACAATAAAGAATAATTTTCTTAAAAATGGAGTTCTGCTTAGCAATATATGTTTGTTGTATTTTTGCATGTCATCCTTGTGCAGGGGCCATGCTAATATTCTCTGTATCAATCCAATTTTAGTATATATGCTGCCAAAGTGATCACTGTTTGTTGTATTTTTAATGCAATTCTTCACTAAGACTATATTTCCTATATATGTATATGTATATATATATTATTATTATTAAATAATCACACCTCCCCTCCCCGCACCTGCCTTGATTGTCTAGAATAACTGCCCTGCTCCTTGAGAAATTTACATGGAGAGGCTTGCCCAAGACCTGAAAACCCATATATTTTTTTTTCCCTTTATTTTATTTTATTTTTTTTAAAGTTGTAGATTTACAATTTTTTGTGCTTTGGTTTCAATTATACAATGATCAGATACCCATCCCTCCACCAGTGCCCATTTTCCACCACCATGGATAATATCCCTCCCACCCCCATCCCCCCATCCCCCCTGTCTCTGTGGCAGGGCAATCCCCTGTGTTCTCTCTCTCCTTTTGGGTGTTGTGGTCTGCAAAAGAGGCATTGAGTGGCAAACATGTTCAGTCCATAGTCTACTTTCGACATGCATCTCCCCTCCTGGGAGGATCCTCCAAACATCCTTTATTTGGTGCTCCCTTCTCTATCTGAACAGCCCTTTCCTCTAGGATACCCGGCTGGCCTCTAAGTTATGGAGTAATCCTCCTGGTGCTGATCTCAGCTATTCTTGGGTATTAATCTCATACTTTGTTACTTTATATCCCCCAGATGAATGCAATCTTTCTATGTCTATCCCTCTCTTTCTGACTCATTTCGCTTAGCATGATACTTTCCATATTGTACCACTTGTATGTAAATTTCATGACTTCATCTTTTCTAAGAGCTACATAGTACTCCATTGTGTAGATGTACCAAAGTTTCTTTAACCAGTCATCTGTTCTTGGGCATTCAGGTTTCTTCCAGTTTCTGGCTATTGTAAAGAGCGCTGCAATGAACAAACAAGTGCAGATGTCACTTCGACTATACATTTTTGCCTCTCTGGGATATATTCCCAGGAGTGGTATTGCTGGGTCAAATGGGAGCTCAATTTCTAATTTTTTGAGAATCGTCCATACTGTTTTCCAGAAGGGATGAACCAGTGGACATTCCCACCAACAGTGAAGGAGTGTCCCTTTCTCGCCACATCCATGCCAGCATCGGTTGCTTTTGTTCTTTTGAATGTGGGCCAGTCTCTGAGGTGTGAGATGGTATCTCATTGTGGTTTTGATCTGCATCTCCCTGATGATTAATGATGTAGAGCATTTTCTCATGTGCTTTTTTGCCATTCGGATTTCTTCTTTGAGAAAGTTTCTGTTCATTTCATTGCCCCATTTTTGGATGGGGTTGTATGTTTTCTTCTTGTGGAGTTTAACCAGTATTTTGTATATCCTGGATATCAACCCCTTGTCAGATGTGTATTCGGTGAATATCCTTTCCCATTCTGTAGACTGTCTTTGTATCTTGGTCACTGTTTCTTTGGAGGTGCAGAAGCTTCTTAGTTTAAGATAATCCCATTTATCTATCTCTGTTTTTACTTGCTCGGCCAGTGGCGTGGCATCTTTGAAGATACCATTAGCTTCAATGTCATGGAGGAAAACCCATATTTTCACCTCATTTTGAAAGCTGAAAAGCAAAAACAAAAATAAAAACATTTGAGATGCCACAATACAGAGTGTGGCTCTGGAGTTCCATGCACAGTTACACAGGACTGTGCAAATGTTTTAAGATTAAATTTTGTATTTTGTGTTTCTTTTGGGAGCAGTGTTCTTGAGGATTGTAGTGGTTGCTTAAGTGTCCTGAAAATTATCTTCACATCCAAAGCCAGTCTTCAAGGTAAGTTGGATTCCATTAGTATGAAAGGTGAAGGGAATATTTTTTTTTTCCATCTGTGAACCACACCTGGAAGTGCTCAAAGCTTATTCCTGGCTCTGAGCTAAGGAAACATTCCTGGTGGGATAGTTGCGATGGGGGGAGGGGGGGTGTTTGAATAAGCTATTTGGGGCACTAGGGATCAAACCCAACTGGCAGTGGCAAAGTGAAAGGCAAACACCCTACTGTCCTCTAGCCCCACCAGCCCCAACTTCCTTATTTGTAGCCAAAAATGATAACTCCCTGGGAGTGTAGGGGAACTGTGGCAGATGCAATTGTTTCTCTTCCATCACAATCAAGCAAGCCTGAAACTGGGTGACAAGTTGCATATGGAATGTGATACCAGGAACTGGGTCTTCGTATTCTTAAAGAGTCTTATTTCATGTGGCATTTCAATATATTTGTGCTGGGAGATGGGGTGACAGTTTTAGTGATAGAGAACATCCCAAGCACATGCAAGACTCTGAGTTCAGTTCCAAGCACAGTATTTCCCCGTGCCTATCATCATGCACTCGACATACTACCCATTCCCTTCCGTTCATGCACCGGCAGGTGTAGAGCTGCTGTCCAGGGAGTACTGTCAGACTGGCAAAGCAGACTGAGTATGACCAGCAGTGTGCCCTTCCCCCAAAACGAACAAAAAATCTGCCCTGGAAATCACTCACTTGCATTCAGTTGAAGTGAGAGAATTAAAGAGGTTGAGGATTAGGTCGGTGCGTTTTTTGTTTTGTTTGTTTTGGGGTGGTTTATTTTGTGTTGTGTTGTGTTTTGGGTCCCACAGTGGCTGGTGCAGTGCTTGGGGAACTATTTGGGATGCCTGAGATTCACCCCATTTTGGTCACATCTGTGCCCAACCTGCAGTACTACAGATCTGGCCCAGATCTGTGCCTGTTCATTGGGAGCCAACTATTTTAGGGAAGAGCAGAATAATATTGAAGGAAGCATGTCTCTTGACTGCAAGATGGAAACTGCAGAGAAAGAAACAATTTATTGGCAGACTTCCCAACATTTGAACGTGTGGGGTTGTGTCTCTAATCATTGTGCTTTTATGTTCAAAGGAAATCTGATTATGATATTAGGGATCTATAGCTAAGTTTTTTAATTTTTTTTAAATTTTTTATATTTTTTTGCCTCTCATTCACAATTAGTTTTTTTGTTTGTTTGTTTGTTTGATTTTCGCTTTTTGGGGTCACACCTGGCAATACACAGGGGTTACACCTGGATCTGCACTCAGGAATTACTCCTGGCAGTGCTCAGGAGATCATATCGGATGCTGGGAATGAACCTGGGTCCTCCGCGTGCAAGGCAAATGCCCTACCCACTGTGCTATGCTCCAGCCCCCACGGCACTGTAGCACTGTACACTGTCCTCCCGTTGTTCATCGATTTGCTCGAGCAGGCCTAGTAATGTCTCCATTGTGAGACTTGTTGTTACTGTGTTTGGCATATTGAATATGCCATGAGGAGCTGCCAGGCTCTACGTGTGGGTGGGATATTCTCGTAGCTTGCTGGACTCTCCAAGAGGGATGGAGGAATCAAACCCGGGTCGGCCACATGCAAGGCAAATGCCCTACCTGCGGTGCTATCTCTCCAGCCCCCAGCCACTGCAATTGTTTTTTTTTTTAATTTGTTTGTTTATTTTGGTTACATTCAACTGTGTTCAGGACTTGCTGCTGACTCTGTTCTCAGGATCAGTGCCGGAATGCTGTGGGATCCTAAGGGATGCCAGTGATCAAATGGGTCAGCTCGATGCAAGACAAGCATATTTTCCATTGTATACATACATTCTCTGGCCCCCCCACGTTTGGGTTTTTAGATATTTTTTTAAATTTTATTTACCAACAATTTAGACTTGCCTCCTAAAGAAATAATACACAACAAAAATAAATCTATCTGCGAACATATTTACGAGATAAATAGAAGCTGTAATTGTGATTATTGGATGAAATCAGACTATCCAATAATGAGAAATTGTAAAGCAGAATAATAAATTTACTTGATAGCATAATTGCAGCATTAAAATGGTTATGAAGCCTCTGCAAACACACTGGTAAGTGCTTATTATTAGATGCTAAGTAAAAAAAAATAGGAGCCTAATATGGTATCTACTGACAACAATATATACTGGAGAAGAAAATGACTAGAAAATAATATACTGAAATGATAAGTATGGTAATACTTGTACTGTTGGGTTATAATTATTTAAATCATTTTCTTCCCAAGTCCTCATTATGCTTAATCATTTTTTATAATTAAAAATAAATGAAATGAAAGAAAAGTACACTCATCTATTAGTGTTTCCATTCTATCTAGTATTGTCTATCTGTTCTTTCTACATTGTAGGTTGCAGCAAGATGAAATTCTGAAAAGATAATTGGTATAATTAGGATGAGAAGTAATAGTATAGAGAAAAAATGGACATTTAAAAAAATTTACAAATTAGTCTGACTGCCTATTCTATCAGCTAGCTAAATTCTATTTTTTTACAGAGCTGCATAGCCAAGCCACTATAATCCATATTAATAACATTTTCTAAATTATACATTGCTTTTGCAGTAGGATAGTTTGTTTGAAAATTTTCACTCCAACTGCCTGAGAATCGTATCTTTAAAGTATCTGCTTGAATTTAACATTCATAGTACAGACACATGGTTTAGGAGGACAATGATTTTCTTTGGGTTTTTGGTTTAATGACAGTTAATTCAACAAGAATGATCTCATACTAGTGAAAATGGCAAATATCCAAAATACTAAAACCAGTCTGTGCTAGCGGGTTTGTGGTAGAACAGGACTTCTTATCCATTGCTGGTGGAAGTGTTCTATGGTTCAAAGTTTATAGAAAACTATGAAGATATATCAGTGCACTAAGAATTGAGCAGCCTTATGACCCTAAAATTCTACTTTTGGATAACTTTCTCAGGACATAAAACACATCCAAAAAGAGTTATGCTCACCATTATTCATTGCAGCACTTATTACAAAAACGAAGATAAGGAATCAACCTAGGAGTCCACCAACAGATACGTGGATCATGAAGATGCTGTTTAAGATGGAGTACTATACAGCAGTGTGGAAATATGGAATCATGCAATTTTCTGCAACATGTATGGAAACAGATGATATCATGTTAAATGAAATAAGTCAGAAGAAGGACAAACACAGATCATCTCACTTATATGTGGTATGTAGAGTAACTGGAGGAAGGGATGGATG